ATATTAAATATATAAAATTATATAAATATATTAAAATATCAATATTATTTACAAAACGGATATTCATCCAATTAAATATTATATTATTATTACCAATCTTAGTTAAAAAATGAAAAAGGAATTCAAAGCAAGTAAGAAAAAATGATTTACAATTATTGATCTAATTTAATATTATTCATAAAATTATTTTGATCATTCATATAATCGCAATCTTACAAAAATTAAAAATATTGGCATCTAGAATTAAATTACTTAATAATTTATATAGTTTAACAATTTGACATTTGTTATAATTAAGTTCCTTACTATTCCTTATATTTCTTATATATATGCTGCAAAATATTTTATGAAATGTGAATAAAACTGTACCAAAGTCATATAAATTCTACAATATTTACATGAAAAACTTCAAATTTTCTTTTCATATAAATTTGAAACATTTTTGCTTGTCGTGTGGTATTCGTGTCTTAAATAATATCGAATCAGCTCGATATTGTGTATTTAATAAAGGCATATAACCAAAAACCTGAAATCATTAATTATATTGAATAAAATTAATGTAAATTAATAATTAATTAATAATAGTCATAATAATTATTTAGATAAATATAATAAAATAAAACATAAAAGCAATAATTAGAATCTTTACCTGTGAAAAAAAATTAATACATTTATGTCTCTCTTGAAAATGAGTATCATCCTCTGAAAGTGAAACTGGGCAACCCGGACATCTAAATGTCCATCGCGATGTTACCTAATATATAAACAAATTTTATAACACATATATTGCAATATTTGTATAAAGCCTGAAAATAATTTTTTTTATTAAATATATTTATAGAATATTTTACCTTAACTGGTGGTTTCCTTGTAAGATGGGATATTAGAAAATTCATTGCAATATCTTCACAATTCATATATTCGTCAACTTTATCCCTTATTGCCTGTGGTAACCAATGCGTATATAAATATGTATAATGTTTGTGAATGAAAGCAGCTCCAGTTAAAACCATGGATAACTCGCAAGAATAGTTCGAATTATAATTCCAAGCATTATGATAATTCTGATCCCACGCATGAAAACGTCCAGGGAATCCAACTACACGATCTCGATGTTCCCTCCATACTCTAAAAACAAAAATAAATAAATTACAAAAGTTACATTACTAGAACGATAAAATTATATAAAACCAGTTTACCTGAAACCAAACATAATTTCATCATGTCTCAAATGAGCATCATCGTCAATGGAAAGGATGGCTTCTGTCTCAATTGCATCAAATGGAAGAAATCTATTATTCAAACTATTTCTTGGAGCTTTTATAACCTGCCCAAATATGAAAAATATATTTTATAACGTGCTCTTTAAAACCAGATATTTTATAGGATAATAAATTAAATTTACATGTATAGGAACGCCGATATCAGGCCATTTGAGATCTTCTACAGGTGGTTTCGGACTATTCCACACCACAAGTACCTTATTCAAGTAAGGTAAGCCATAAAGACGTGCCAGTGAATTTATAAGAACCTGTTCTCTTTCATATGTTAACATAACAATTGTAAATTGTTCTCTTGGATAGTTTCCTCCTAATGACTCGCTAAATTCTTTTCCAGCACCTCCAGCACCTTTGCCGATAGGTCGGAAACCAACTTCTGAACCTAGGAAAATGAAATATAACTAAATATAATGTAATTCTCAATGTAACGTGATAATTTCTGGAATAATTGTTTTACCAAGAAATTTAGCATCGCTGGGAAGAGCGGTATCAAAAGGTAACTGTGGATATAAATTGAATGGATCCATCCAGTCATTCCAAATTTCATGACCTTGAACTAAAAATGTTGTATAATTTCTCTTGAAAGCAGGAGATGGGTATGGTGGTTCTAAAGGACCCAAACTTTCTTCAGCTTCAGGTTCCTGAGTCGGTAGA